GAATTAGTCCTAATATTATAGTGGCTTGGTTTCCCCCCCTTTCACTTGTTTTCAAAGTTTAGCTGGAGGCAACAGTTAATCTTTAAAGGAGTCATGCTTATAAAGTTGGGATAGTGCTGAGTGGCTGATGTTCTGCTGATTCCAGCTGTAAAATGTTTTTGAAGAGCAGAAAAACAATTTGCTTTTATCCCAATACACTGTAACTCTTGAGGTCCACTGAGTTTCTAAAAACCTTGACTCTAAAGTGAGTTGTTAACTATATTTTTTCCGTACTATGCTTTTGTTTTAGAAAGGAGAATATATACTTATTAGGATCTAGTGAGGCAAAATGGCTATTAGAATTGAGAGTTAGATTATGTTGACTTTAAATTTCAGGAGATTTGCTACCTCTTATATAAAGCCACAATTCAATATTCTTTATTTATTTAACGACATTGAAAAGGGGGAAACTTTCTTATGCACCACACCTGTACTCCTTTCTCTAGCTCTAAAAATGTCTGTGGAATATAAGCATGCACATATATAAAAGCACATTTTTCTATGAGTAGGATTAGTTTACTCAATGGGAGTATAGAAATAAAATCTTTTATCTAAATGATGCATACTATTTGTTAGAGTGGGTTGTTTTGCACTATTTTAATGGACCTTTGTCCTATGTTTTTCCCCATAATATTTAGCCATAATTAACATTAAGTGGATATAGCAACATACATTTTTAAATCTTCTTTTACAATGAAATCTCAAGATATGCCCTAGCCGGTTTGGCTCAGCGGATAGAGCATCGGCCTGTGAACCGAAGGGTCCCAGGTTCGATTCCGGTCAAGGGCACATGCCTGGGTTGCGGGCTCGGTCCAACGTACAGGAGGCAGCCGATCAATGATTCCCTCTCATCATTGATGTTTCTATCTCTCTCTTCATCTCCCTTCTTCTCTGAAATCAGTAATAAAAAAAAAAAAGATAGATGGCAGTTGAAGGATGTAAAATGAAAACTAGTATATAATGGAAGCAACATCAGTGTGGGTTTACCCAGTGTTTGTGAACACAGCAGCACCAACCTTTCAAAATGATGGCTATTGCTTCTCACGAGGCTCTCTGAATTCAGGGAACCATGGAATATACATTTAAAAAAGATCTCTATCAAAATTGGCTTTAAAATGTCTGGCTCTTAGCTGAGCACACTATTTTAATATTTGAAAAAATTTTCTATATAGATAACTTTTTTGGCAATTACCTAATAAATATGCTTTAATTTATCAATTTTCTTTATTAAGTATGCTTTTGAATAAACTATCATGCATTGATTACTCTATGTCTTTTAGGATCAATAACATAGACTGGGACTTTCTGCTAGGTAGCGTGTATGTGAGCAGTGCAGTTTGAAATATAGAAATGCTATTTTTTGATACTATGTTTATGTAATTTGGTTATTTATTTTATTTATTTTTGCCATGGGAAGAAAAGGTTATTGTTATAAAATCTTGTTTGCCTCATGATTGCAAAAATTTAGATTCCAAATTGAGACTTAAACTATGAAATAGATAACCTTAGCTTGATCCTGTAGTGTACATTTAAGAGGAAAACAGTTGTGAAAATATTAACCAGATACTTTTGGAATGATAAACCAGGAGTCCTTTAGGTTAGGTGTTTTGCATTCTTTCATTCTGCAGTCTTTTGACTAGTCCCTTTCAAGCATTTCTGTGAAAACTGAAACAGACTCATAGATAGAGTACAGACTTGATGGTTGCTACAGGGGAGAGGGGTTGGGAGATTGGGTGAAAAAGGTGAAGTGATTGAAAAGTACAGATTGGTAGTTACAGAATAGTCATGGGGATGTAAAGTGCAGTATAGGAAATAAAAGTCAATAATATTGTGATAACTATCTATGATGCCAGTTGGGTACTGAAAATATCAGGGGTACACTTTGTGAAGTATATGATTGTCTAACTAATATGCTGCACACGTAAAACCAATACAGAATCATATTAAATGCAAACTGTAGTTGAAAAATAAAAAGCAGTTTTGTGAGACAGTGGAATATTATTTTGTGTAGTTGACAGATGAGGGTGATAGCCTCAAGACACTTTATTGGCACAGCCAGGAGGGGAGATGAGAGCCTGGAGGATGACAGACATCACATACTTGACTAAATTTTGTGTGTCTTGGTTAGAAGAGTTCATTGGTGTTTCTATGCATAGATGGTGTCCACTGCCAGGAATATGTGATTTCTTTTTTTTAAAATCTTTATTGTTCAGATTATTACAGTTGTTCCTCTTTTTTCCCCCCATAACTCCCCTCCACCCAGTTCCCACCCTACCCTCCTCCCTCATTCCCCACCCACTGTCCTCATCCATAGGTGCATGATTTTTGTCCTGTCTCTTCCCGCATCCCCTTCACCCCTTTTCCCCCCAAGAATAGTCAGTCCACTCCCTTTCTATGCCCCTGATTCTATTATAATCACCAGTTCATTCTGTTCATCAGATTATTCACTTGATTTTCAGATTCACTTCTTGATAGATGTGTATTTGTTGTTCATAATTTGTATCTTTACCTTTTTCTTCTTCTTCCTCTTCTTAAAGGATACCTTTCAGCATTTCTTATAATACTGGTTTGGTGGTGATGAACTCCTTTGGCTTTTCCTTATCTGTGAAGCTCTTTATCTGACCTTCAATTCTGAATGATAGCTTTGCTGGATAAAGTAATCTTGGTTGTAGGTTCTTGGTATTCATCACTTTGAATATTTCTTGCCACTCTCTTCTGGCCTGCATGGTTTCTGTTGAGAAATCAGCTGACAGTTGTATGGGTACTCCCTTGTAGGTAACTGACTGTCTTTCTCTTGCTGCTTTTAAGATTCTCTCTTTGTCTTTTGCCCTTGGCATTTTAATTATGATGGGTCTTGGTGTGGTCCTCTTTGGATCCCTTTTGTTTGGGGTTCTCTGAGCTTCCTGGACTTGTAAGTCTGTTTCTTTCACCAGGTAGAGCAAGTTTTCTGTCATTATTTCTTCAAATAGGTTTTCAATATCTTGCCCTCTCTCTTCTTCTGGTACCCCTATAATTCTGATGTTGGTACGCTTGAAGTTGTCCCAGAGGCTCCTTACACTATCTTCATATTTTTGGAATCTCTTTTCTTTTTTTCTTTTTCGGTTGGGTATTTTTTGTTTCTTTGTATTTCAAATCTTTGACTTGATTCTTGGGATCCTCTTGTCTGCTGTTGGATCTCTGTAAATTATTCTTTATTTCAGTCAGTGTATGCTTAATTTCTAGTTGGTCCTTTTTCATGTCCTCCAGGGTCTCACTATACTTATTGAGGGACTCACTAAATTTATCAGCGGTTTCCATAAAATTCTTGAAAAACCTTAAAAGTGTGGTTTTGAACTCTATATCCAGTAGTTTGCTTTCCTCCATTTCTGTCATTTGTGTCCTTTTTCTTTGTCTCTGCATTTTTTATGCTTCCCTGTGTTGATAAAGTAACCACTTTCTGTGCTAAGTGTCCTCTAGGGCCCAGTGGTTCAGCCTCCCCAATTACCTGAGATGGACACTCTTGGTGCACCCCCTTGTGGTCTTTGTGCACAGTCTTGTTGTAGTTAAGCCTTGATTATTGTAGGTATCACTGGGAGGAATTGACCTCCAGGCCAATTGGCTGTGAGAATCAGCTGTGTCTGCAGTGGGAGAACTTCTGTGCTGGGGACACCCCTCTAGGGCAAGACTTGCTTCAATGGGGCTTTGGTGCTCACTGAGTCTGCCCCCTCAGTGTGTCCTTTATGGTTCCACAGAGCTGCAAACTGGATGGTCCCACTCTGACCTCTGGGTACACTGGCTCCTGGATCTCTAGGGAGGTGCTGATCTAGCCTCTGCCTTAGGCTATCCAGCAAAAGCCTCCCTGCAGAGCTTGGGTGGGGCGGGTCCCAAGGGATCAACAGGGCGGGGCTAGCAGTTATGGCTGCTCTCAGAGGCTCCACTTCTCAGTGTCTTGGCAATTGCTGCAAGCCCCTCCGAGAGAAAGCTGCCCTCGAGTTCCGAACGATGCCACACAGTCCCGACCGATGCCACACAGTCCTGCTTCTCCCATATGAGTCTGGGTTCCCAGAGACTCGCCCGGAACTGGAGCTCAGAGCCTGAGACTCCCTCCCGATTGAAAACGACAACCGCGCCCTCAGCTGCCAGCCCGCTCCGCGTGTGCCTCTGTACCTTAGTATTTTACTTCTGCACTGCGCCTCCTCTGAGTCTCGGTATGCTTTTCTCTTTCCTTCTAGTTGTAGAATTTTCACTCAGCCAGCCTTCCTGTGGTTCTGGATGATGTCCGTTCCGTCTTTTAGTTGTATTTTTGAAGTGGTTGTTCGAGGCAGCAAACTCCGGTGTTTACCTATGCCGCCCTCTTGGTTTCTCGTGATTTATTCTTGTTGAAAGGAGAGAACCACAAAATAATCCTTTCTGTTATTTTTTATTGGCTGGACTCGATTATGTAAATAGTTCCCTGACATCTTTCTAATGAGGCACCCTTTGTGGATTTCTTCTCTTTGGCCTCATATTTAAGTGGTTGTCTCCCCCCACCCCCTCAATTGTGCATCGTATCTTCTTTTCCTTTTAGGTGTATGTATTCTTTATCTTTTGCCCTTAAATTCCTGAACCAACTGTATCCTTCCTCTGGCCTCTTCAAACATTGTTGCTTGACTTATGAAGTTGTAGACTTACAAACTTTAAATGATTTGCCTCAGCTTCTCTCTCTTGTTCTAGGAATAATTGTATAAAATGCTCAATATTTGCGAAAAGTGATTACCAGATTTGTTTCTTATTGGAATAAAGTAAAAAAATCAAAGGGGAACTGTAGAGGAAAAAATAAAAAACCTTATTTAGCTATTAGAATCATGACTAGTATTATGGTAATTTTATGTGAAACTTGAAAAAAAACCTTTGTTTGTTATGTTTTAATGGCATCAAAATATGGTACATCAACAGAAAATTTATTAAGAAATTTCTAAATATTGCCATTTGAAATTTCCCAGGCTGCTATCCTTGTCCAGGGCCCAACATGAATCCTATTGCTCTTGGGAGCCGCTGGCTGGCTTATGCAGAAAACAAGGTAAGGCAGGACTCTTGGATTATTGATAATGGACCACTTGCTCCCAAATTTTCCAAAGCGATTACCAACCAATGATGACTATTTAACTTACTAGTTTGTTTTCTTTGATTTGGTTTTGGTTTTAGTTGGACACCAACAATTGTCCTCTCTCTCTCCTTCCATTTAAGGCAGGAGGCAGCAGAGGGATAATTTTCTTAATTCTTTTGAATGTTTGTGAATGAATGAATGAATGAATGAGTGAGGCAGTGGGTGAATGAGTGAGATAGATTCTTTTTATTAACTAAACCACATTTGCTGTTGATCACCTGTCATTTGGACAATTCCTCACCATTGACCTTGAACTCTATCTACTTAAGCAATCATTCAGTGTGGCAGTGTGATATCTCACATCAGACCTTCAAAACTATTTCATTATAATATATAATAGTTACTGACCCAGTGCATGGATTCGTGCACATTGAAAGGAAATTAATTAGAAGGTGGCCGGTGGGGCGGGACTGGGTGAGATGGGCCTGACATGTCCTGGAGCCAACCTTCCCGGTCCCTCCCCGGCATCTGTGGAGTGAGCAGAGTCCCTCCGGCAGGTGGGGTCCCTCAGCCTGGCCTGCAGGGTCACGCTGAAACCGGCACTCCAACATCCCCCAAGGGGTCCCAGAGTGTGAGAGTTGCTGTCCTACAGGGTTTGGAACGCAAACACAAGTATGCAGTAAACCAGATTCGGGGCCACATTACCCTAGCAACAACATAACCCATGGCCGAAGGTGGAATCTTGTGGCTCAGCGAGGAATTGGGCTCCCTTCTCTCTGGTTCTGGCGTGTGTCACCCAAGAACCGAGAACCGAGAACCGAGAACCGCTGCTGCCAAGTCACTGCAGCTCGGCAGCTTCTGCATTGAGTGTCTGCCCCCTGGTGGTCAATGCGTGTCATACCTACCGGCCAGTAGCATGGTTACAGGGTCAGATGGTCCGACAATCACTTAGTCTTTTATATATACAGATATTGTTATTGCTTTGAGGGATTGTTTTTTCATACAATGTTAGAGAAGAAGGAGAATTGATTTTAGATTAAAAGAATAAAAGGTTTACATATTAATCTTTATCAAATGACCTGGTTTTAAATTATATAAAACATTTTTGTTTCTTTATGTTTAGAGAGGTAGGTTCTTTTTGAATTCTGTTGGCTTGTAATAATTCGTATCACAACATGGAGCTGTTCTAGCACTCTGTTATTGTTATTTCATTACAAATGTAAATGTAAGAATTTGGCTAATGATACTGTATAAATATATATGTTTCTCTCTCTCCCCCCGCCCGCCCCCCCCCCCCCCCCACCAAATTTAGGAAATGTAGGAGCAGTGGAGAATTTAATACCAGTTATTGCTCAGCACATGAGAGAATCATGTTTGTCAAACTAGTGATTTACTCTGAAAATTGGCAGGTCAATATATTTACATCAGACATGAATAGGGGCATGTCTTTTTCATTCTAATGGTAAAACTAGTAAGCCCTCTGAAGTGGATAGCTACTATATGTGTCATAGTTGATTTATGCGTTATTTGTGCCACTTTTCCACTGATACAGTTGAAAATGAAAATATGGCACAATCTTTTGTCTGTTTTTTTTAGGTTTCCTTTTACAATCTTTATGTAGGAATTAAGAGGACAAAACCCCTAATTTGCTAGCATGTTAAATATTTAATGTTAGTAAGTCATGTCTAAGTCCTTTGATTATGTTTTTAAATTTTATTTGTGGAAAGGCTGCCAGAGCCCAAATTCTACCATTTTAGAGTTTATGAATTCTTAAAAACTATTCATCTTGTAATTAAAAATCGCATTTGAGCATGAAACGGCCTAAATGGCACCAGTAGATTATAAAAGGGCTAAAAGTGTCTGAGCAGGGCTTTTGGCTGTTTGTATGAAATACACTTGTACAAACATTTCCACCCACCACCATCATTATGCATGGTAAATAAGCTCTGTCCTAATAGCCTGTAGAGTTAAACAGTTTAATAGAAATGACTTTCTGACTTCTCTCTCTTTTTCCAGTTGATTCGATGTCATCAGTCCCGTGGTGGAGCCTGTGGGGACAACAATCAGTCTTATACTGCCACAGTCATTAGTGCTGCTAAAGTGAGTATCCAGTAGTCTCTGGGAGTTGTGATTATTTGGAGTAATTATCAAGTTTCTCCCCTGAATTGGATTGAGATGGTCTCTTCCCCTTTTCATCCACAAGTGTAATAACCTTAAGAAGTAAGTCAGATTTATTTCATGTCTCATGAGAATTGGTGGCTCAATGATTAGGTATTTAATTTCTTAAAGTTCATAAGTAATACTTTATTTTATATTGTAATGATTATAGGGTTTATAGTTACCCAATTTTAAATATTTAAGTCTGTTAGCTAGAGTAAAGTCTGTTATGTAATTAATTCCACTTTGGAAAGAAGCTGTACACGTCCTAAGTAGTGACTTCTGGATTCTTTATGTGTGATTAGCATTATTCTACCTAAACTGACATCCCTTTGTGTCCTTTAACATTTATGAATTTTTAGTTTGCCTAAAAAAGTAGTATTCTTTAAGAAAACCTGAGTTAGATCCCTGGCACATTCTAAGGTTCCTTTTAGTCATAGGCTTTCCCTTGCATGTTTGTCACATGACTTCTTTCTGTGTGTGTGCTTGGGTTAATTTTGACGATGGCTCGTAAACTTTATGCTGATTATAAGGTATTTTTATAATCACTATCCTTTTGAATTCTGAAGTATACAACAAAACAATTCTAATAATAGGGGTGACATAGCGAATCTAAATGACAGCATGTAATAAAAAGCACTACTATTCAGAAGAGAACAACAGTTTAAAGCAAACCACAGGGAGGCAATCAAAGGTCACACTGTTTTCGTGTGAAACATACAAAAATACTTCAAGACTGATCACAAATGCTTACAATGAAGTGTTTTAGCATGTTTTTATGCTTACAACACTCTGTATTTTAGATGTCAGAATCTTTATTAAAAAAATTGCTTACTTCTCTCCATTGGCTGTGCCAGAATTATGATGGTTCTTTCAAGGAAGGGAAATCTCAGACAGAGTAATTAGGTAGCATCAGTGTTACTGAGTTAGTTTACAAGAGGTCCATTTCTCAAATATTCAGTTCTTTTTAGACTGACCTGTCATACACTTGCCTCAGGATAGCTCATTGTATTATCATGTAGAATAATTTTCAGTTATGTGATGTAGGACAGTTTTTCAGCTCTTCTTTGCTATAATTATGTTTTTGTGTGCCTTCATAAAAGGAAAGTGACCTGCTTTATTCAGTAACTGGTAAGCTGTTTAACTGTAGCTAAAGGTGGACATGCTGGGATGAGACTAGACTAAATATGCTTTGAAAAGAACAAGCTCGAACTTCCTACTTGTTATTCTCCAATATTGCAAACTGTGAGAAATACACTTAGATCTTCCACATTTAACTGTAAAAAATTACGTTGATGATCACACCCTCCAGTCAATTCCCAATAGACCCTTGGTCACCAATGAAAGTGATGTTAATTGACATTCATTGTCAGCTCTGGCAATGTATAAAATTCTTCCAGTAGCACTTGAATAAAGTGGTAATGTTTAATTTTTGTTAATTGCATTTGCCTGTTTTTAATGCTTATTTGTACTCTTGTTTGTAAATTTATAAAATAAAGGAAAAATATAACTATGAACATAAGTCACATTTCTTTTAAAATATTTTTAATTAAATAATTAAAAAACTTACAGTTTGCATTCCATGTGAATTTGCATTAGTTTTGCGTGCATATTGGTTACACAATCATATACTTTACAATGTAATCCCACTAATATATCAGTACCCAACTGGCATCATACACAGTATAATATTAATATTAGAGGGAAAAGGGGAATGGTTATTTTAATACATGCACAAAAACATATATGCATTGATGAAATATTTTAGTTGATAGTGATAATTTCTGATCCTCTAGAATTCAATTTTTTTCAAATTACCAAGTTGTTTAAACACCCTTATTTTTAAGTATGTTTCTGATAACACCAATATTTGGTTTTGTTTTCAGTGTATTTTTGTTTTTTCAGCTGGTCCTTACTTATCATGTCTTGACTCATGGTTTGCCAGATCTTATTTCAAAAATCTTTAGAAACAATTTTAAATTTGATATGGTATCAGAGTTCTGCAACATGGTCAGTCTTGGATAATTTTAATCCAATTTTAGGGACTGAAATTAAATGTTTTAAATAATGTTTACCTGAAATAGCTCTGACAACCTCATTACTACTGGTTCTCTCTTCTGTCTATTCTGTATCCCTCAGGTTCCCAACCAAGGCATGGAGGGAAGGTCACCCAATTGACCCCTTGAACATAGTTCCCCAAGTCTATCGAAAAAACCACTCAGTCTCTTAGCAGCCCTCCCTAGAATCATCAAATGCATCTAGGCCTAAAATATTTCCGTGTTCTCTTGGATTTTGACCTAAGAACTCTTCACATTCTTGTTAAATACTCCATATGTTCAAGCAGAGTTGAACTGCCCCCCTCCCCCACTCCACCCCAATTTTTTCTACTTGTTTTCTTTGGGAGGATTAACCTGATTTACCTAGACTATCATTGAAAATAGAAAATAAAAATTTCTTATTTCTTACCAGTTTTTTTTCATTTCTATGTAACATAATATTTTTTGAGATGTAACATGGAAATAATTTAAAAGGTCATGTAGTACATGCTCTTTAAGAAGAAGATGTTAATCTTAAATTCACAACCATTTCATTATATCACTTTCTCAGAAAGATTAATATTTCTCTCTCTCTGACAGTTTCTGATGTGGATTTATAGAGGTTACACAACCGTAGAGGGATTAATTTTTAAATTTTTACTCTTTTTTCACTGTGCAATTATAAATGTAAATATATTAGTTGAATATGTACTTGGATCGCCTATGCAGCAATACTCTTTTTTTTCTTTTGTTTTCTTTTCTTTCTTTCTTTTTATTTTTTCAATTTCTGCGTTCTCAAATAGCACTTAAAATTAAAGTTTATACGTTTAGATTTTTCCCTTTGATTTTGAAAATAATTTGTCTTTCCTTAATAATATAATAGTGACGAATTCTCTGTGGTGGTGATAAAGGAAAAACTTAATTTTGAAATTGTTCAAATTGGATTATTTTGATAAATTTATAAAATCTTGTTCCACATTTTCTAGTTATTCTATAACTGTCCTAGTTGAGTTTTCCTTTTAATGTGTTTTAACCTCAGTATGGTAAATTGATTTAATAAAAATGCCTCTATTTTCTTGTTATCTGATAACTTCTTAATGACAACTAACAGGTTTTGTGAGAGCAGTACCATTAGCACTAATGGACAGGGAGGACAACTGATATGGCATGAGAAAGGTTAAAGATGCCTAGTGACCCTTTGGCAAATCTGTCTGCAACAGAACGGAATGAGTACTATGCTGATTCGAATTTTTGGTCATAGTGGATTATCTCACATTCATTATAAGCTTACGTTCAGTTTTTTTGCAGATAGTTCTGTGATTACTCTTAAAATTATTCATATATATATAAAATGAACTTTTGAGTTTAGATACCCCAGATTGTGAAGACACTACCTAAATTAACATATCCATTTGGCCTAGTTAGATTTATTGTTTTAATTCCTATTTTTTTTTCTTAGCCTTTGTTGTATTTGAGAAAATCATCAGGTATGCACATACCCTTTCTACTAAAAATCTAGTGAAAAGGCTAATTACACAGTGAGGTGATTTAGGTATCTAAATGTGATATATGAAAATTATTAAATAATATTATATATTGCTTTTGGACACTACTGCTCATCGATGTGACATGGAAACAAATTTCTTCTAGAAGTAAAGGTCTTTACTAATGTAGAAAACGTCTAGCACCCCTCTCTCACTTCCTGCATTAGACCTTATTTGGAAGTTAGTAAGCTATGCTAGATAATACTATCTTGTCATTTACTATACAAAGTGCAGATTTGATGACTGTTAAATTTTAATAACATGACCCCACTGGTAGTCATTATTTATTTTTTTATGAGAAATACTATAACTCTTTCATGTAATATGAGCCCTTGCCTAAGAAATATACTACCCTGCTTCCCTGGTCCCCCCATTCTTGAGTTTTTTCCTAATTCTTTTATGTGAACTTTCCCGTTTATCTTGTGGTTGGCTTTGGTACATTATTTCCCACTTTCTGTGTGCTCTAGTTATTTTAGTTTGTTCCTATTCATTGGTATAAGAGCATGAAATAATAAGCTCAAGGGCAAATGGGGAGGATATGCAAGCTAAGACTTTAAACCTGAAAGGCATTTCTTTGATAAAGGGGTAGCTCCGTTTAAGTGGGAGCATCTCCATTAGCATTAATGGAGTCAGTACATCAGCTGAAGCATCTCAGAGGTTAATAAGGCTTCCTGGCTAGCTTCTACATCAATACACTGTGGCGCCTGATTTTGTTGGTCCTTCAGAGGCTTTCTTAACAATCTAACAGACTCTTTGTAAGTCATTCCTTGTGAATTATTGAAACAAATGTTTGGCAGCTAATTGAGGAACGCTACTGTGTTTTATAATCACTGCAGTTTGAGTTTTTAGCACTAAACAAAACAGTTAAAATTGATTTGTGGCTTTTTTCTGGTTTCAGTCAGCTGTAAGTTATATCTTTTTGCTTGAATTTAGCAAATGGCTTTGGTGGTCATTTATTTAAGTATTTATTAAAATATAGTGTTATTGTCTTCCTCCCTCACCCCTCCCCAGTATATGTGTGTGTTCTGAATTCATGAAGTGTGAGATCACAAGTAGTAACAGGAATAGAGTATAAGGAAATACTGGAGAGTGGTTAAATTCAAGCTTAGGAGATAGATAGCCCTAGTTTTAAGTTCTGGCTTTGTCATTGGCTAGGTGTTGTGCTTAACTTCTGAAGCCTCTGTTTTCTCTTAAACTGAGGTGTTTGAGGAAATCTATAGAGATCACTTATGTTTAGAGCAGCGGTTCTCAACCCGTGGGTCGCGACTCCTTTGGGGTCGAACGAACTATATTAAAGGGTCGCGACATTAGGAAGGTTGAGAACCACTGGTTTAGACCCTTAACCAATCCCAAGTTCATAGTAAAGGTTCCATAGAACATAGCTACAATAAAATAATGCATAAAGTATTAGTGTTAATCCTATGGTGTTTTAACGGAAAATTTCTTTGGAAAATACATTTCCTTTTTGAAACTTAATCTAGTTGTGGTTTAAATCACATTTATTTTCCCATAATTATTTTTAAAAGAGAAAGTCACCTTATTAAAAATTAATTTGACGTATTTTAATAAAAACTTTTCTCACAATGTGAGAACTGGAAAAATATTTCTGATTGTGTGTCTTATACATAATTTTTGATATATCCATGTAATCTAGATTACTTATTTAGTCTCTAATGACTAGGTGTTTTTCCAATGTTTATCAAATACATAATTTTCTTTATGCTCTAGCTTTCTTCCTTTTAGACAATGCCCCCAAACATTACCTTAACCATATTGCTTGGTAATGCATATGAGACTAATTAGATGAGAGTCCCATAAAATAAAAAATAATCACACACATTATTTTTGTCTATTTGCTTTGAATGAAGTGGAACTAAAATGTAATTATAAAGCATCTTAAGTTATTTTTAATTAAAATTGTATTTTAGAAACATTGTATTGAATTGTTTTCTGTTATCAGAGAGAAAAGAATCTTCTTTGCTAATTTTATATGATATTTCATTCATCTAGTAATTAGTACGTTGGATGGAGACTGTATTTTTCACATGCCAGATCCTGATGTATAATCTTATATAACAGCATATTATAGGTTATCTTTGAAAGCATGATCTTTTTTCACATAAGGATTCTACCAGATCATCCCAGTCATTTCCATGCTAAAAATTTTTATAAAATATAATTGTATTCTCATGTGAAACAAAGCTTTTTAGTTATTTACCTATGGCTTTATTCTCACCATGATTACTTTGGGGCTGTACTGATACCATTCATTCAGACTGATACTGAGTTTACAGTCACATGAAAAGTCAGACTGAATTTCTGTGAAGTTCACTACTACATATAGGCTCCTAAGAGAAGAAAGAATTTAATGGGTAGGAGAATTAACAAATGCAAATAACTTCATATCAGAATTAAAATTCTGATATGAAGTTATTTATAAATTTTACCTTTCATCTTATAGACTTTGAAAACTGGCCTGACAATAGTTGGGAAAGTGGTGACTCAGCTGACAGGCACGCTGCCTTCAGGTGTGACAGAAGATGATGTTGCCATCCATAGTAATTCGAGGCGGAGTCCTTTGGTCCCAGGCATCATCACCGTAATAGACACGGAAACAGTTGGAGAGGGCCAGGTAAGAACTTGCGATGCATGTAATATCCATTTTCTGCAGAGGGCTGGCTGACTGAGAATATTCTTTGGGATCAGGATTAGCCAAAATGTACTTGGCCTTGTAGGTTGTTAACTTGCATTTCTAGAAATCAAGGTTATTTTAGGTTAGATTCTTCCCACTCCTCCCCAAAGAATGATGAATAATATGTAAGAACCTGTTATTTCAAATTTTATAAATGCATCAAACCTGAAGGTAAAATTGAGTTTTCATGAGATTCTCTTGTTATCTCTTCATCGGATATGTGTTTCACAGGCAGATATTTGCTCATAGATCAAAAGGATCTTACATATTTCAGGGAATTTAAAAAAAGGTTGCCTCTGATGGTTACAGGTGAATAATATCAAATTTTATTATAGATATTTCCTTAAACATGAAGAATAAATGAAATCCCAAAGTATATGTTAGAATACATACATGATAATAGCTAATTGTAAACCCTATATCTTTAGATAAAATAGATTTTTAAAATCTAAGTTCAGAAACAGGAGAAATGATTTAAACATGGAAAAATGCCTTATGCTGGCATTTAATCTAGTTGATAAGAAACCCATTGGGTTTAGTTTTTTTTCCTCATGTACTTATAAATATCTCTTCTTTTGTATCATAGTTTTAGATTTTAAATACATTTCTGAAAGGAAGTAATGTTAAAATTCATTTAATTTGTGATCATTACTATAAAATATAATCTAATACCAATTACTAAAAAGAGATAGTGGAGCAACATTTGTGAAAAATCGTATTTGTCAGCTACTCATGTACTAATTTCTATAGTAAGATCAATTGTCATTTAAAAAAAAAATGGAGCCTATTGCAATTAAAAGAAAAAACTCTGAGATTTTTGAATTTATTATATTTTAATTGAAATCAGAATAATAATAATTTTCCACCTTGCCCATCTTAACTTTGTTGTTAAACAACTATGTTATAGACTTATATTCTTGTTTTAAGACTCTTTTCAATGAAGTGATAGCAAAGTTTTCAGTTGACTGTAATGACATTTAAAAAAAAGTTGTTTTAGTTAGGTTAGCTCAAGTTGATGGACACATACAGCTGTTCTCTTTTTAAATTGGAATTAAATATATGAATCCTTTAATGTTTTCTTTCTTTTGTTCTTTGATTCGTAATTAATTCACCTCCAAGGCCACCCACAGTTACTAAGAGCAGCAACGACCCTTCTCAGAATTGTCTAGTGTGGGGAGTGCAATGTATGTCTGTTAAACATCTAGCTTTTGTTGACAGACAGATTTGTGCTCATTTAAAAGAAGGAAATGTTATGTCTTATTATCTCTAATGAAATAGAGATGTAACTCATTATTATATGTAAGTGTAGGAATATGTTAAAAGAAAAATTAAGCTAATTTCATAAAATGCATAACAATTGGCCATATGTTTTCAAATGTTTGTCACTGTACCTCCTCTCCCCTGCCTTCTCCCATTCTTCAGTAACTTTTTATAATTTTAAAATGGAATTCTCAGGTTTGGAATATGGAAATGAACTGTAGACTGTGGAGTTGCAAAAGTTATTTTTCCTGTGATACATTCATTGTTAACACTTGAAACAACTAAAGCTGTTTACTAGGAAATAAGACTCATAGAAATGTTAGCTTTTAGGTTAGTGTCATTCAACTTGAAATGATCTATTTTCTATTATTTGTTCGGAGCATAATCTTATTTTCACTCCTACTTATAAAATATTCTAAAATTTTAACTTGACTTAGACATTTTAAGACAGGAAATATATTGATGTTCAATAAATGGTAAGTTGCAATGTGCATTTTAAAATAATTATAAATATTTTTTAAAGCAACAAGATTTTCTCAGTAATACTGTCCTCGCTTCTTTTATTTATTTTATTTTATTTATTTTTATTTATTTTTACAGAGAGGAAGGGCTAGGGATAGAGAGTTAGAAACATCGATCAGCTGCCTCCTGCACACTCCCTACTAGGGTTGTGCCCCCAACCAAGGTACATGCCCTGGACCGGAATTGAACCTGGGACCCTTGAGTCCACAGGCTGACAATCTATCCACTGAGCCAAACTGGTTAGGGCCACTTTTGCTGTTTAAATCCATTGAGCCTTTAATAAATAAAGATATTTTCATGTTTACATTGGTGGTGTATAAAATTTTATTCACCATCTTTCTGATACTAAATTGATTAGTTTGATTTTATGGTGATGGGATCATTGTCTAGTAATTGCATTAATGAAGAAAAGATTTAATTGACTTCATGTACATTTTTATCTGTGTTACTTTCATTTTTATTTAAAAGCATTTCTTGCCTAAGAGAAGTTAAGCTGTATAATTTGCCTTTATACATACATATATATAATTGAAATTAGCAATGTGGCAAAGTCTTTAATAAAAGAAAATACTCCAGAATGATGACATAAACTTGAGATATCATGCCTTGAGTACATGTGTTATTCATAATTTAATGGTTCCTTAGGCATTTTGTGTATCATTTTGTTCATATGATAAAGGCTTATTCACTTTGTATCAGTTAAAATTCTTTGCTTTGTTTTAATATAGTCAAATGCTTTACTGCATATTTTTAGGGCTTCAGCCTGTTTAGTTAAGTGGTGAGTAAAAATTAAATGTCTTAGGACAATTGTATTGGGATATCTCTGGTTTTATTGATCTGATGCTTTAGTCAAGGTGCTAATGCAATATAGAGAATCCTTCCAAAAGTATCTGGTTATTATATATTGTGAAGCTCTTAAAGAGAAGATTCAAAGAATCCTATGTAGTGGTATGAGGCTTTGCAGTTCACCGAGATTAATGTGCCTTTTGCTTGATGACTTTTGTATTAGAACCATCAACTAGAGCACGCAACACTAATTGTGTTAGAAGGAGAGGTATAGGGTTATAACATACATAAAAAGAAAGGGAGTCTTGTAAGATTGAATTAAAATAGAAAAATGTGCAAAAACCAAATATCACAGAAAAAAAAAATATACAAATGGTATAAAATCTATGCCCATAACTTCACTTGTTAAAGGAAAAGGCGTGTTGAAACTACAGTGAGATACTATCACCTACCAGAAAGAAAGAAATTCAAAAGCTTTCAGATTGCATTTTAATTTTGAAATAATTGTAAGCTCATAGTAAGTTGCACATATATCCATGAGCTCTCACCTAGGTTCTTCCAGGTGTAGTACAATATCAAAACCAGGAAATTGACAATGGCACATTACTGTTACTAAGCTATGGACCTTATTCACCTCTCACCGTTAGTTTTACCTTCATTTGTATTTGTATATGGGCATATATAGCTCTATGAAATTGTATCCCATGTGTAGATGAATATAATTAACATAATCCACCACAATTAAAATATTGGACGATTTAACACACACTTTTTTTTTGTATTCAAGTCCATCCTTCAATCAACCTCTATTCCTTTCTCCTGAAAAACACTAGTCTGTTCTCTACTAGAATGTTATACAAGAAATCATAGTATGCAACAGTGTAATATTAACTTACTTTTTTGTTTTTTATTTAGTTATTTATTTTAAAAAATATATTTTATTGATTTTTTGCAGAGAGGAAGGGACAGGGATAGAGAGAAACATCAATGAGAGAGAAACATCGATTCAGCTGCCTCCTGCACACTCTCCACTGGGGATGTGCCCGCAACTAAGGTACATGCCCTTGACTGGAATCAAACCTGGGACCCTTCAGTCCACAGGCTGACGCTCTATTCCAGTGATGGCAAACCTATGACACGCGTGTCAGAGGTGACACGCGAACTCATTTTTTTGGTTGATTTTTCTTTGTTAAATGGCATTTAAATATCTTACCTAATAATAGACAAACATAATAGATAAAATTAACCATCCCTCTGCTACGCTCACCAGCCAATCAGGAGAGTATGCAAATTAACCCAACAAAGATGGCGGTTAATTTGCATACATAGGGGCGAAGTGGCGGAGTGAAGACTGAAGGCTCCGGCCAGAGCGAAGGCCTGGGTCCCGGGTGCTGGAGGAAAACCGGTGCCAGCAGCCAGGGGAAGGGAAGGCCTATTGCATGAATCTCTTCGTGCAACGGGCCTCTAGTATAAAATAAATATCAAAAATATAAGTCTTTGTTTTACTATGGTTGCAAATATCAAAAAATTTCTATATGTGACACGGCACCAGAGTTAAGTTAGGGTTTTTCAAAATGCTGACACACCGAGCTCAAAAGGTTCGCCATCACTGCTCTATTCACTGATCCAAACCCGTTAGGGCTAACTTACTTTTTTATTAGTCCAATTAAGGGTTTGTCAATTTTGTTGATCTTTAAAAAAACGAACTCTTAGAAATAAACTTAAACCAAGGAGGTGAAAGACTTGTATACTGAAAACTATAAAACGTTGTTAAGAGAATTTCAAGATTATTCAAGTAAGTGGAAAGACATCTCACAGGTGTGGATATTAAAATTTAATGTTGTTAAAATATCCATACCACCCAAAGTGATATACATACTAAATGCAGTTCTATCAAAATCCCACCCTAAAATTCTTATGAGATCTTAAGATACCCAGGAAAGCAAAAACAATCTAGAAAAAAGAATTGGAGTCCTCACATTTCCTTACTTAAAATCATACTACACAGCTATATGTGGCATAAGGATGGATATGTAGACCAATGGCATAGAAGAGCACAGAAATACACCCATACATATAAGTGCAAAAGATTTTCAACAAGGGTGCCCAAACCACACAAAAGGTAAAGAAGAGTCTCTTCAATAAATGACACTGGGAAAACTGGATGGCCAACTACAAAAGAAAGAATGCGGGCCCTTACCTTACACCATATACAAAAATGAACTTAAATCCATCGTAGACCTTACCAGGAGACCTAAAACTATCAAACTCCTGAAGAAAATTAAAGGGAATAAATTTGAGATTTAAAACTTTCTGCTTTAATATACTTCTGATTTTATGGCTTGGTAATGCTTTCAAAGAGGTGATATGTCTATCTAAAAAACTAGGAGTTAAAAGACCAGTACTTTTCTACTTAAAATAAAAATTTTAGGGGTGATTCCTCTGACATATAGCTGTGTGTGTTTAACCTATTATATTGTTTTTCCTTGTTTTATTCCAATCATGGGCAAGAATTTTTCAGCAGGCCATAACACAAATGTTTCTGTCATTGGATAAAGTTCTGCATAGCTGATTTTATTTGCTGTTGTTGTTTTTTTATGAACCTACACTTCAAGAAATGATTGTCTCTGTCACCTATAGTCAAAAGTTAACCAACTGTTTAGCGTTTATATGATTGATCTGCTGGGGTTGTATTATATCTTTTCCTCATTCGTGAAGTGGTATTTTCACTTTTTAGTGGCAAGAATAATCTTACAATATAATGGAAGCATGTTATTTGGTCATGGACATTGTGGTGTAACTGTATATCTTTAGACTCAGTAATTGGTGATTAAAGGTTAACTTCCATTTGCCTCTTTATTTTTGTAAAGGTGCTTTTGAGTGAGGATTCTGACAGTGATGGTATCGTGGCCCACTTCCCGGCTCATGAAAAACCAGTGTGCTGTATGGCTTTTAACACAAGTGGTATGTTTGTTTCTCCCCATTTATATCATAGGCTTTCCAATTTGATTTTTTTGGAAATGGAATATCTAAAACACGAATCTCGTTTTTCTTCTATGTGCCAGTGTGTATAAGAAAAGTAAATAGTTTCAGTAACTGGTTATTGAATGAATGAATTTATAATAAAATTTAGATACCCTGTAAACATTAGCTTTATTCACAATAACATGGTGAAAGCAGCAGTCGGTAAACAGTGTTGTTGAGTTGCATTAATTTCTGACTTACAATTAAGCCAAGAACTTCAGTATTTCAATCAACATATTAATGTATGCGAATGGAATTTTCTTTGTAACTTAAAGTTTCTTTCTTTCTTTTTTTTTAAAAAATATATTTTACTGATTTTTTTACAGAGAGGAAGGGAGAGGGATAGAGAGTTAGAAACATCGATGAGAGAGAAATATCGATCAGCTGCCTCCTGCACACTCCCCACTGGGGATGTGCCCGCAACCAAGGTACATGCCCTTGACCGGAATCGAACCTGGGATCCTTCAGTCCGCAGGCCGACGCTCTATCCACTGAGCCAAACCGGTTAGGGCTAAAGTTTCTTTTTAATGTCGCATTTTATAAACTAGTTTACTTATATTTTTTCTCCTTTTCTTGTGGTGTTTTTGTTTTTCTGGTTCTTCTTAAAGCTTTTGGTAAAGAGAGATGTTAAAGCAATGTGGAATGCCCTATTATCTTTTGTCAATCCCCCCCCCCCCAACTTTTTATTATAAAAAGTTTCAAACATAAAAACAGATATAAAGGTTAATATAATAATGACCCACATATCACTACCTTGATTAAACAAGTGTTCACATTTTAATGTATATATTATATATATGTATGTGTATTTTGCTGAACCACTTGAATGTAAGTTTCATATATTATAACATTTCACCCATTACAAATGAACTATGCATTTCCTAAGAATAAAGACCCCTTTCTACATATAAAAAAATTATATATTAGTTCAGAAAACTAACATACTATATTATCTAATATCCAAACCAAATTTAAAATTCCCCTGGCCGGGTAGCTCAGTTGGTTGGAGTGTCATCCCATACACCAAAAGGTTGAGGTTCCCCTAGTCGGGGAACATTTGGGAGACAACCAGTGCATGTTTCTCTCTCTGTCTCTGTCTCGCTGTCTCCCTCTCTTTTCCTTTTTTTCTCTCTCTTCCCCTCTCCCTTTCCCACTCTAAAAACAATAAACATATCATTGGGTGAGGATTAAAAAAAAAACAAAACCCCAATGGTTTCAAAAGTGAATTCTCCAGGTACTTAAAACTAAGTTCTAATTAAAGTTCACTTCTTACATTTTGTCATGTCTCTTTAGGTCCTTTTAATCCAACTAATAATGTCCACCTTTTCTTTTTTACAGTGCCCAGACCAGTTATCTGATGCAAATTCTGTACTTGTCATATTTTTTTTTCATTATAATAATGTTTTCCTTATTTCCTAAAGAGACTTTTAAATGACATTCAAGCTAAGGATTTTTTTTTTTAACATCTTAAGTTTTACTGTCTACAACATTTCATCCCAACAAGAGACATATACTATCAGGTTGTCTTGCAATTTATGATATTGTGTTTGATCACATGGAGAAGTTAGTGACCCATCGAATGTCTGCATATTTGGAGAGAGGTTTCTCTTGTGGAGATTAGCAAGTAATCTGCAGAGTGTTATTTTGGCCTCATTGCTGAAACAACTTTTTACTTAATAGTTTTGTTACATTGAAGGCTATAAGGGTGGTTTTCCTAATTGTATTGTGTTTTCTGCATTGATTATCTGCTATTCTATCAAAAAATTTTTTTCGTTCATCAACCAGTAATGAACCACAGTTATCCTGTATGTAAAAGGCAGAGATTAAATGCTTAATTCTTTATCTTTATTTACCAATTTTCATTGTTAGGAATTGGTTTAATACTTCCAGTGGCGGAATTCTACTCCAATGGAATTAATTTTAAAAATACTTTGTTCATAAATAAAATTGTTTTTTTGCTTTCAGAACTGAAATAGTTTTCATAAATTTACAGTCCTTTTAGATCTTATTTCTTTGGTTGATGTGTCTGAAGAGACTGCCATTTTATTTTATTCTGCAGAAATGATCCTATTAGTTAAACCTGATGGAAAGATCCATCTTTCCTTTCTTCTCAAATAAAGAATGATGGTAAGCGGATAATATAGAGTACTTTGAATAATCTTTCTTCTAATATCTTAATTAGTCATTTTTGATAGAGAGGAAGATTTTTATAGTGATTGTTGATCAGTAGGGTTGATTTAATTAATGAAGACAATGATTTATTAAAGTGCTCTGAATGTTGTGGGAATTAAGTTAAATTTGAAGAAAGAGTCTGGAAGTTCTGTTCCTTATAGCACTCCACTTGGAGTAACCAGTATGACTCATTTTGATAGGCCATCTGTTATGTCAGATCTCCTTTGTATTAATGTATATTTTACATTACCCTAGTCAGAATGCTTCAGACACTGGAAGCTGTATTTTTTCCTGTCTATAACTTTCTTTTATAGTAAGAACATATTATATTACATAAAGAATGTAGTTATCCCTATCATTGTCTAGCAATTAACTCTAGAAAACTATTGTTTCTTTCCTATGGTTTCCTAACTCTGATCTGCATTTGCCTTTGAATTCTGTTTGAACTCCCCAATTTGTGTTTTTATGATAAGATTTATCTTTAAATATTTGTTAGCCTAGTTAGCCTGAGTTCCAGTTTACATTTGGATTCACTCTTGGTTTATAATCTGTGGGTTTTGACAAATATATAATGACATGTATCCATCAGTATAATACTACACCGTATAGTTTCACTTCCCTAAAAGTCCCCTTTGCTCTGCCTGTTCATTCCTCCCCCCTTTGTTTGAACCCCGACAACCACTGATTTTTTCCACCGTTTCCATACTTCCGTTTTTTGCAGAATGCCATATATTGGAGTCTTACAGTAGGTAGCCATTTCAGATTGGCTTCTTTTACTTACTAATATGCACTTCCTTCATCTCTTTGTATGCCTCAATTGCACATTTCTTTTTATGTTACTCTCTAAATATTTTTTATGGTTCAAAATTATGGTAAAGCCTATATTTTAATCTATGAATAAAAATCATATATTTTAAGTGTTTTACTTTGTCTTTTAAAAAATATTAGTCTTTGAAAGAGGTTTCTAGGCTTTACCATATTGTTAAAAAGTTCCTGGCACTAAAAATGTTTGAGTCCATTATCAAAAAGAGTAACCCTTGGCATGATTTTCACCCAATGCATTAGAAACTAACTCTTTCTTTTAACTAGAGACTCCATTCACATTGCCTGGCTCAGTCATGGTGATTCAGAGAGAGTCAACACCCATGGAGTCTGCTGGTGTGATAGGGACTTAAGGAAGGAGAATGCTTTGTGGAGTTAGGAGAGCCTGCTAGGAGATGAGATGACTATTAACTTGGTCTTTGATTATTGGGCAACATTCTTCAAGGGGAATTCAGTTCTAAACTGGAACCTAAAAGATAATTAGCTAGGAAATAATGATTCAGTGCCTGGCATATAAAGAAATATTAGTTGAGTGAAAGAGGCAAGAAAAATATTGCACGTTCAACATAAATTGTGAAGCAGAATCTATACCAAGGACTGATCAATTTCTTATGTGGTAGAGATATTTCAATGCGTCGTCATTTCTGCAACGTTTTATAAATGCTTTGTACCTGTTTAAATATTTGAATTAAATGGAGGGTTCATAACTCAGCAACCACTCACAAAATTGGTCTGCAAAATATAGATGCTGGTAGGCAGAGATTTCATACATTTGCTTACAATTTATCTTGGTTATTTACTGTTCAACTCTTAGTATTTTTACTATTCAGAATATGACTGATATTGCTTTAGTATGGCACAAGTGCGTATATAAAATATTTAATTCTCAATGATTTGAAAGCCTTGTTTTTTTTGTGTGTGTGCGTTTTTTTTTTTTAAAAGCTGCCTACCAGAGAATGGCTATGGCTGCCAACTATTATCCAGCTCCTAACATTAGGTGACATTTTATTTGTCAAGTTTCCGTGTCATGTTTCTTGTTTTAGCCAACCTTCCCAGATTAAGATAGAAATACATACATATGAACTATTTGAGTCGAGAAGCTGCATTGCCATTTGTAAATGCATGGATACCTTAGTACAGTGGTCGGCAAACTCATTAGTCAACAGAGCCAAATATCAACAGTACAATGATTGAAATTTCTTTTGATAGCCAAATTTTTTAAACTTAAACTATATAGGTAGGTACATTGTCATTAACTTAATTAGGGTACTCCTAAGGCTTAGGAAGAGCCACACTCAAGGGGCCAAAGAGCCGCATGTGGCTCGCGAGGCATAGTTTGCCGACCACGGTCTGAGTAGATGTTATTTATTCCATTTAATTATGATGAATTTTCTATCAACCTTTGTGTAATTATTTCTCTGTAAATTTACTTATGTTATAAAATGAGGCAGTTTTTTGTTCTCTGGCTGAATTATTTTTATTAGCTTCTGAACATATATTAATTGGTATTTTGTACACATAAGTACTGTATGAAGTGGTCCTTCACCCAGTACTTATGATTTTTTCAAAATATAACTTGTAGAACCTCCAATAACATTCTCCAGTTTTTCTTTACATGTATCCATACATATTTTTAATTTTTTTCATACTTCTAAATTTATACCAATAAGTTTTAACTCTTTTGCCCTTGTAATAGTCTATTTGGTTAACGGTTTTTTCATAGGGACTGTAGTGTGGGCAGTAATAACCCTAGTGTTTATAAGTTTAGGGAAGTTCATTAAAACAACAAACATATTGATTTTTTAAAAACCTAATCTTTCTCTAATCTTTACCTGTATTATACTAGGAATATAAATAAATTTATTAGTTTCTTTTTTAGAGAAGCGTATTTTTAGATGACAGAGCTGTTAAAATGTCCTGGACATCAAAATTCAAGAACAAACCAG